AGGGACTGGGGCTCTGACCAGTTCTGCCCCGCTGCGGGAGGGTCTCACCGAGCAAAGGCTGCTTGTTGGCCACACCCAGGTACATTCATGGGACCACGCTGCAGCTGCTGCCCAGAGGCTGCGGCTGGGTGCCAGCCTGCCCCAGAAAAAGCCCGCGGGATTCTGTAGCAGCAGCCTTTCAGGGATTATGGAAAATCACAACACATGTCTGGTACCCGGCTTCCCCCTTAACGACCTTGGTCCAGCACCAGCGAATGTGGTTGTTCTCTGGGGTCTGCTGGGGCCTTTGCCTGTGGGGGGGCCCACCCTGCCTCTATCAAATGTGTTCTCACCAGGGGAACCGCCTTTCCCCATGTGCCCCGAGGACCCCTTGACTTCACTCTGCTCCTGGGGATTCGCCCTTGCCATCAGAGCACATCCAGGTGTCTAGCTGCGGAGTTTCACACTCTGTGATCCCCGTGTTTATAGAGTCTCAATGGAATTTAAACCCTCTTCTTTCCCCTTTCTCCCTTTTAGTTCAGTCCTTGTAGCTGTTTCCACTTTCCCACTTTCTCTCCAGCTGCTTTGGGGAGGGGGGGGTGGGTGTGCTCTCCTGCACCTCCCCGCCCCTGTCTCTGCCTTCTCTCCACAAGCGAAAACCGCCCCCTGTCCTCCGCAGCATCCCTCTCCCCCAGTTCACCTCTCCGCGGCGCCTGCCTGCTGAGTTCTGTCATTCAGGTTGTGCAGATTGTTGTGTGAATCCTCAGATCAGTTGTCTAGGTGTGCAGGATGGGTTAGTGTTGCTCTGGCTGTATTTCATGGACACAAGACACCAAAAAACTTCCATGCCGTTCAGCCCTCTTGGCTCCTCCACCCAAATTTTCTTCTGGTGTTAATTTCCCTCTGTCGGGATAACCTTCTATAAGTAGTTCTTTGAAAGTGGTCTGTTGCCAATGATTTTTTTAAATGTTTTTAATATCTCACCTTTATTTCAAAAGGATGTTTTCATTGGAATTACAATTCTGGATCGCCACTTCTTTTCTTCCAATACTTTTTTTTTTTTTAAATGTTTTATTTATTTCTAGGAGAGAGAGAGAGACAGAACAGGGGAGGGTCAGAGAGAGAGGGAGTCACAGACTGAAACAGGCTCCAGGCTCCGAGCTGGCAGTCAGCACAGAGCCCGACGCGGGGCTCGAACCCACGAACCGCGAGGTCATGACCCAAGCGAAAGTCGGACGCTTAACCGACTAAGCCACCCAGGCGCCTCTCTTCCAATACTTAAAGAAAATCATGGGCTGCCTTCTTCTGACCTTCCTAGTGTTTGTATGTTTGTTTAAATGAGAAATTCACATTTATTTGAATTGTTGTTCTCTTACAATTCATCTCTGGCTGTTTTCAAAGTGTGTTTTATTTTTGCTTTTGCTTTTTTACCCCACCCGGTGTTCCACAATTTGATTATATCTGTATTGTGAATTTCTTTGGGTTTACCTCTTTTGGGTTTGCTGAGCTTAAATTTATAGGCTTGTATTGTTTGCTACATGTGGGAAATTTTTAGCCATTATTTCTTCAAATAATCTTTCTGAAGTGAACTCTATAACTTTATTCTAGAATTCAAGTGATATCACCATTATATCTTTTGGTGTTATTCTATAGGTCCCTAAATTTATTTTTTTCTCTCTGTGGTTTAGATTGGAAAGTTCCTTATTTTATATGGACGCAAGTTCATGGAGTTTGTTCTGCTATATCTCTATTCTACATTTGAATTCAGTCGCTGAGTTTTTAATGTTTATTTATTTATTTTAATTTAGATTATGGTTTTTACAGTGTTACATTTTCTGTTTGGTTCTTCTTTGTATCTTCTATTTTTTTCCCAGCACTGTCTATTTTTTTTTTTTTTTCATTTGTTTAACTGTGTTTTCCCTTGTTGGAACATTTTTGTTTTTGAGGGGGTGTGGTGCAGGTGAGTGAGAGGCAGAGAGAGAGAGAGAAAGAGAGAGAGGAGCAGGACTCACCTGGGGTTCAGGCTCACCCAAAGAAGAGCTTGTGCTCATCCGACGTGGGACTTGAACTCACAAAGTGAGAGACCGTGACCTGAGTTGAAGTCCAATGCTTAATGACTGAGCCACCCAGGCACTCTTGTTGAAACATTTCTATAATGGCCACTTAAAATTTTTATTTGACTGTTTCAACATCTGTGTCATTTCAATGTCAGTATCTATGACTATCTTTTCTTATGTGAGTTTAGATTTTCTAGTTTCTTTGTAATTTTGGTTATATCCTGGGTGTGTTGAATATTAATGTTATAAGATGTTGAGTCTTAAGTCCTACGACAATTGTTGATATTCTTGTGTCAGCAGGTAATTGATCGATTCAGTTGGATTCAGGCTGAATGTTTTTACCTTCTTTCTGTGGAGTTTATTTCCAATATCAGTTCTGCTGTCAAAGCCTTTGCTGTAATAGTTGGATCATGTGTGCACAACCTGGTGGCAAGTCTGGGACCCGAGTAGTGGTCTGTCCTGTTCAGTTCTCAAAGTCTGTGGTATCTTTGTAGGTCCTATGTGTACACATGTTGCTCAGGCATGAGTGTGGAGGTCACGAAAGCACCACGTGGTGTCATTTTCCTAAACTCTTTCCTTCCTTCCAAACTCTTTCCAGGATCCTCAAAGTATTTTTTTTGTTTCCCAGGGCTCCCCTTTCTTGTCCTCCAGCCTGAAAGCTGATGCTTTTTCACCCTATTCCTGTACTCCTGTGACTCAGTGTGCCTTTGTGACCAAGTTGTAGAGGAAGGAGAGAAAAATCAGTGGGATTTTGCCCCACCTTCTGGGACCAGAGCATCTCAGATCCTAGAGAAGCTTGGCCTCCCCCAGATTGTTGGGCATCTCTCTCTATCTGTGTTTTGATGTTTCATTCTGGGTTTTCTGCTGCCTTGAATCCATGCCAGGGAATGCCAGTGAGGTGAAGGGAGCAGAATCCGTCCCCTTGTTTAGTGGCATTTGAATTTTCTCCTCTTGCCCACTCCCACTGCTCTTGTTTTCCTTTCAGAGACCTCAGATGTTTGCTGTCTGCATTCTACTAAAACTTGACATCTGCACTGAGTGGGCAGGATGGGGTGCATTGTGCTTATTCCTTCTTACCAGAGCCAGAACCTCATCACCAGCTTCATTTAGTTTATTGTAGGGAAAATACATATAAAATACAAGTTACCATTTTAGCCACTTTGAAGTGTACAACTGGGGGGCACTCAGTGCATCCACAATATTGTGCGACCATCACTGTCTAGTTTGAGAACTTTTTCTTCTCCCCAAGTGGTAACTACCCACCCATGAAGCCATCAGTCCTCAAGTACTCTTGCCTAAACCCCCCTGGCCACCACTAATCTGTTTTCTGTCTGTGGATTTGCTCTACTTCATTTTTTAACAGTTTATGGAGGTAAAATTTACATACCATAAAGTCACTTATTTTGAGTGTATAATCCATTGTGTGTGTGTGTTCTGTATATTTATAGAATTGTACCGATTTAAAAAATATTTGGGAATATTTGCTCCCAGTGTTTTCCTCTTTTATCTTTCTTCCTTCTTAAAGATCTATTTTACTGTAAGTTTTTAAAACAAAAGGGAAATTATAACATGTGTGTATCTTTGTAGCTTCTTTTCCTAAAAACTAAACAGTGCCTTTTAAGCATTTTTCACTTTTGTTTTTTCAAATGGTTCCAAACACTGCACAATGTGCCATCATGTGGATGTACTATAATTTATTTTTAATTTTCCCATTCTTGCACATTTTAATATTTACAGTTTTATTTTTTCACGAATAATGCTGTAGTTAATTAACATGTAAATAAACATCTGTGTATATCTCTCCTTATTGCCTTCAGTGCTATTCTCAGAGGCGATATTTCTGGGTTAAAGGACATAGCAAAACACCGATTTGAAGATTCTGGGTTCTGGCATGTCCCAAAATAAAGATTCTTGGTTTTGTTTTTGTTTTGGAGAAAGTAGAAAGAAACTCTCAATAAAAAATACATAAAATATACATCAAAAGTCGCTTCCTAAACCTTCTTATCCTTTAGTAAAAGTTTCAAAAACTTGCAATATAGTGTCAGATGCAAGGAGTCAGGGGTTACTTCATTGGTGAAGAAAGTACGAGAAATACCCAGAATACATGGTGGGTGCAGACCTGGATTTGACTCCAGCATCGCTATTTAAGCGGAAGGTAGAGTGAGCCAGTCCCCACAGAGGTGGTGTGGACACATGTCGTGGTTTGCCCTCTCACTCCCACCGCACACCTTCTGTCCCTGGCACTGTCGTTAATGGAGCCCCACCCCCTCCTTTCACTCACATGCATTTCTCCCATTTGGACAATACGTTATGTGGTCACTCTCAAGAAGCATCTTTCATTTTCAGAAGCACATTTTGATAGGGCAAGGAAAATCAGTGCATGGCAGACGTATCACCAATCTCTCCTCTTTGGGCTTAGGTGGGTTTCACAAATATAGGAGTTTCTTTCTCTGAAATAAGCATTGTCCTCAGAATTCCCCCAACACACTTACATGGGGCCTCACCTACCATCTGATTAGAAATGGACCATAAAATGGATCCCATTTTCCAAGGCATGTAGGTGATTCTACTGGTCCTCGTCATGGGGGGAAACATGGTGTGATGGCTGGTGCCTATTCCCAAATGTCTTGAGTAGGCCCCCAGTGAAGAATGGCCTGCACCATCAGGGCACGAGGGCTTTTCACGCCACCTCACTTTGGGAAGATTTGGCCTCCCACATACCCTCTGCGGGAACTCTCTCCTCGTTCCTGTTCAAGACTGTGACTCATCCTAGCTGTGTTTCTGGAACACACGACTGAAAATCCAAGTGAAACTTGGGCTATTTAGACCTAAAAGAAAATTAAATACATAATTAATTAATCTTGGGTCTGCTTTGAACCGAGTGATTAGAAGCAACTTTCCATTTTCTTTCATGTTGTTTTTGTGCAGAACCTGCTGATTTTTCCCTGTTTCTTTCCTTTGTAGGCTTCAAGACAACAGATGAATTGTGAAAGAGAGCAGCTAAGGGTAGGTGTACCTGCCTGTAAAATACTTCCTGCTTCTCGTTTCTGTATGATAAGCAAAAATTTCCTGTCTCTTCCAAGACACAGGGTTCTAAATACCGGGCTTCATCTTAAGACTGGTAGAGTTGAAAATATTTATCCCAGCTAATTTAGTATTGATTGAGCTGGTAAATACAGTATATCTTCTTTTGAAGTGCCATTATAGTAGATATGGATTTTTTGATTTAGATTCAGCAATAAATACTTCTCTTCTGGAATTTGTTTGACATCATTGTACTCTTTTTATGTACAACATGAGGTCTAAGTAATAACAAAGGTCAAAAGGATGTCTTGCTGCTTTCTTAATGTGAATACCAGGATGTTTGCTGAGTGGCTAAAATGCTCCCTTGCTGTTAACTGGGGTGGGTGAGTCACTTATATGTCAAGGGCATTTTCGAGGAGAATTCGAGTCCTCTGTAGACCTTCTAGTTTCAGTTGTATTTGTATATATTGAAGAAGGAGACAGAATTTTAAACCTCATATGCTATTTACCTTTTTAAAAATAAAGCTTTCTCAGTGCTCAAGTGTGTTAGGTGTAAAAAGTGTTTTCTTTCTGAGGGGACAATGCTTTGCTTATACATTTAGCTTGGTGGCATTGTCCTGCTCTCATGGTACCATGGTTGATGGTATCCTTTTTTGGCATGGATATGGTATTTTAAGAAATATCAGGATTGTCTCCACTTCCCGTTTGTAGTTTTTTCAAAATGCACTCATGTTTTAGATGGATGACTTTGAAATCATAATTGGCCTAGTTTTAATGTCACTGATGGAAGTTGGCAACTTTTACTGGACAGTGTGCCTTATAATTGTGTTTCTGTGTTATTATAAAAACCAGAGGATTCCGCTCTCAAAATCCTAACTGTGAGGTTTTGGGAATTGGGGGACCATTGTGCTCAAAGGGATCTAATGCCTCAGAATAATTTATTAAACTGATCCAATGCCATTTATACACTGCCTTGTAACTTTTCAGAACATTTACTTAATGCTGGTCTCAGGATGACAATGATTCGTAGAGTTATTTTCATTTTGCAATTGCTGTTGGCATCAGGTTTGTTACATGGTTGTGTAAGACAGAATCTGATCGTATGTAACTGAGAAAGTGGATTTGGATGTCTTCTTCTTTTATGCATATTTATTTTATGTAGTATTCCAGCACGGCCCTCTCCGTTAACCTCTCATCTATACCCACTTCACTCCTGAGTACCTGTGCCTACATTAGCCGTGAGTCCTTCGTGAAATACCCTTCAAGATGTTTTAAGATTTTCCTGAGCTCTCATTGCTTCTCCCTGCAGTCTGAATTACTGGTTCATCCTGGTAAATAATGTATTGCAACTTCAGATTTCTCTTCCTGTTTGGATGAGGATGATGGCCAGAACTAGGTCAGAGCTAGATAAGAGGAATGTGTGCTTTTGTTTCCAGGATCCCTGATAAATTCCTCAGAATTAAGATAATACTGAAGCCTCTATTGCAAACGAGACTCGCCTTTCGAATTAAGGGCTCTGGGGGTAATGAAGTGCTTGTGTGCAGTTTGAGGGATTTATTATTTTGCCTTGATGAGGATATTGTCAGCAGGGGTGTGGTTTAGGAACAAGAATGGAGCCCTCTCCACTCTGTTAAATAAATTCAAGCAGTGATTTGATATAATGGGTCATATGGTTTAGTCCCAGTGTGGCTTCAATAGCCCCATATAAAATTATCTCTAGTATATCATGAATTGGTGCTTTGTTCGTTGTTGTTATTGTTGTTTTTGTTTTTATACTTTTAACTAATTTATGTTTTGAATCAATAGAAAACACATTTAAATCGATGGAATACACATTTATGTGGTTCAGAATTTAAATGATCCCAAAGGGAATGCGTTTGAATCTAGCTCCTTCCTGGGAGACTCCCAGCATTGCTTGGTTGTCTGGCCTTTGATATCTCTGGATATTTACTCTGTCTCCTCCTTTCCTGTTCTCTTCCTTTTCTTCCCTTCATCCTTCCCTCCTGCCTTTTCTACCTGTCTTATGTGTGTACTCAATCACTCTACTGTCTAAAAAGAGAACTTTCTTGATTAAGGTGTTGCTTTTTTTTTTTTTTTTTAGGGTACCTGAAAGAAATTTGGCTCTGATTTAAAATGCTAATACTTGATCATCTCATTAAAATGCATTTTTCTCTCATGTTTCTTTTTTTTTTTTCCTTAGAAAGAGTGCCAGTGGGAGAAAAGTAGATATCTATTTAGTTACCATCATCATTTAAGAGTACCTGCCAGCCACACTTTAAAACATATAGTTTAAATACAGCAATCAAACTGAATTTCCAGATTTGCCATACAAGATGACTGGATGGACTATGGGCATGTTGTCAAGTTCATATTTCTTCGTTAGTTCATTCCGTTATGTTCAGAGTTCAGAGATACAAGTGGGTAGTTGTAAAATGCATCCTTTCCTTGGCCTCCAGGAAATAGCAGATAATGCAGAAATGTACAGGTGCATTATGTGTGTGAACACTTCGTCGGGACTGGCATATCCCAGCACTGCTTTTCTGCTCTCCTTTCTCATTCTTAAATATTCTTTTTTTTTTTTTTTTTTTAATATTTTATTTATTTTTGAGAGAGAGAGAGATAGCATGAGCAGGGGAGGGTCAGAGAGAGAGGGAGACACAGAATCCGAAGCAGGCTCCAGGCTCTGAACTAGCTGTCAGCACAGAGCCCGATGCGGGGCTCGAACCCACGAACCGTGAGATCATGACCTGAGCTGAAGTCGGACGCTCAACCAACTGAGCCACCCAGGTGCCCCTCATTCTTAAATATTCTACATTATTTTTTTTCAAAATAGACTCTGAGATACATGTTCTAAGATATTATAAATCTAAAACAAAATTCTCTGATTTAATTAATTCTGTGAATTAATTTTTTAAAAAGTTGAAGAAAGTCAAACTTTTTTTTTCTTTTCTTTTTTTTAATAATTGAAGGACCTTCTCAGAGACTTTAATGTGCAAAAAATGAAGTACAGAGAGGTGGGTATAATATGCAATGTTTTGTAAAATAATCTCATCACAGGACAATTTTCGGCTCAAGAATACACTGGGAAACACTCTTGAAAATTATATCTTTTTATTATTATTTTTTTGTGTGTGTTTTCCCCATTAAGATGTTATAGTCTACAAATACAGAAAAGCTGTGCATTTTTTAAAAGCTCAAAACATTTCATCACCTCCCAGTATCAGGGCTGACTCAGTGGACTTTTGGTGTTAGCACAGTGGTTGGGAATCTTCGTGCTTGCCTAGGCCTTTCTTTCCTTCTTCCAAGATGAGGACAAGCATCCCTTCTGCACATGACATTCTCATCAGGGAGGAAGGAGAAGAGGAGCGTTTTCCTCAAAGCTCTTGCCTTTGATTGGAGGGAAGTCATTCCCAGAAACCTCTTCTGTAGACATTCTCTTTTATTGCATCAGCCTGTCTCCATGCAAGTCACTCCCAATGTCCAGGGATCTCCGTGATGGGCCAGAGCACCCATGAGTCATCCCAGGGGACAGGCCCATTTTCACAGGATGGTAAACAGGAGTTGTGGGTATCTTTGGTGGAATCCTCCAATAGAGTCCTCCACAGAAGGAATCCACATGAGCCCTCCCGTCCCTCAGGGTGTTGGTTTCCTGTCACCTCCTTTCTGTGCTCCCTTCGTCCCAGACACATGGCCATGGGAGCCACACTGAAAGCCCCAGCAAGTACCTGAACTCTGGCTTGTGGAATTTCACAGATGGTTTATCTGCCAACTTCTCACAGATCACATCTCCCTGTTCTACCTTTTCTCCCGGCTTGGCTCTCTCTTTGTATTTTGCCTTATGTTCTTTGGAACAGGGCCTGGTTGCAGTCTTTATTAATTTCCCCTCAGCGTCAGGTAACTGACAGCACCCCAGCACCCATGTCAGCCCCAGAGATACTGTCCGTGAGCTTCCTGTTCCCTGCCCTTCCCGAGAGAAGGATGTGGTCCAGTTATTCCTGACCAATGATCTGCCCTTCTCGGAAGGCTGTTGGACTACTCCTGTTCCCAGTGAACATACTACAAAACAGTAAACCTGTTTATTCCTCCATCCTGTTTCGAATGAGCCTTTCTTTGAGCTTACATTTCACATTGTCACTGGGTCCTGTTGGGGAGTTCATCCACAAGAGCTCACCATGAGATCTGTATATTAAGTGCTCCTGATGCTATGGGCTATATTTACCAACTTGTCCCTGATTACTTGTGGTTGATGCCAACAGGTGGGGTGGTGCTAATTGTGCAGTTACCATAACCCAGCCATCAACAATTACCTTTCTGGCATCTGGAATGACAAGTGGACAAATAAAAAACCAAGCGACAAATTGTATGACCTCAGTAGTCCTTTGTCTCCCTCAGTGATCTACAAGTTGGAAAGATGGTGTGGTCATAGGGTAGGGGATCAAATGGCCATGTTTGTTAGCATTCATATAAAATATTGGGTTACAAAAGGATCTTTTGTGCTGAGTGTATCAGATGTTGGCTTAGGGGACTGTTAAACGTATTTGGTCAGAACACTACTAAGCAGGCAAGGGCTTGGCTCCTATGTGGACCAGTATTTGTTCATGGACCAAAATCTTTATCAGCAGTTCAGCAAATAGATACCATGAGAGTCAGCGTGGTATGAGGGGTAGTTAGGGATGCCTAGGAGCCCTAGTTATTGACTTAGGTTCATACATCAGTTTTAAGTTTGCCCTACTTCCTCAAAGCTTTAGTTTCCCTGGGTACGAAAAAGGGATACTTTCTCACTGGATTATTGATCGAATAAAATGACTTATTAAAAGCACTTCAAAAAATGTATGCCTCATAATCAGCAATAGTAGATTGTTAATATAGTATTATTCCCAATAATTCCTTCATGCCTCTTCCTACTAGGAGTACCAGACCAGGAATACAGACATTTGGGGGATATCTAATCCCACTCAACTCCCAACATTAAAAAACACCTC